GACATATTTTGGGCATGTTGCAAGGAGGGACTGGTCCTTGGAGAGAGACATCATGTTTGGCAGAGTGGAGGGGCGGCGGAGGAGAGGAAGACCTTTGATGAGATGGATCGATTCTGTGACTGGAGAGGTGGGAATAAGTGCATTTGAGATGGCTAGGTTGGCACAGGATAGAAGAGCCTATAGAGCTCTTGTACATAGGGTTGCTGTGAGTCGCGAGCGACTCGATCGCACATAACAACAACAACAGTGGATTAAAATCTCTGAACTCTCTGTTAAAAGCTGCATACCCATGCTTAACCACTATGCTATCGAATCTCCCACTCAGCAAAATCAAGTCAAACCCACCACCTCCAACTCTATACTGACTCAGTACCCTTCCAGCGGGTGTCTGGGCTGCAAGCCTTTATGTGAGGAGACTGCCTAATCTTTCTCTCACAGAGCGGCTGGTGGGCCTTTTTGTTATTAGCAGCCCAATTCAGACACAAAACAAGACTTAACAGAACAAAGGAGCAGCATGCTGGGAATTTGCCCTCACTCAAGATGGAGACTAGATCCTTTTCTTGTGGTTTGATTACAATAATGAAATGTTTAGTTTTATTCTCTAAGGCCAAAATGTGAAACTCAAGGCACTTAGTAATGTTCAACTTTTAAATTGTGATTTTAATAAAAGTTTACAGAAAAAAAAATTAATAAAAGTTTACAAAAAAAAATTAAAAATTTACAGAGAGGCTGGGTTTTCTTTCATTTACTGTTGTACATTGTGCTTTTTCTCTCCCTCCATTCACCCTTCCTCAGTGCACTGTGTAATGCACCTCTTCTTTCAGATTGTTGTCATACTTATAATGTCAAATATTACATCCCTTCAAGACAATTCTTTCTCTCAGCTGTTGCAATATAGTGTTCATTATCTATTCACTCTTTTCAATTTCTATTTCCCACTGAGTGTCTTCACTTTTCTTCTTTCATCTCTTTAGTAAACAAAAACAAACAAACCAAAAAACTCCAAAGAACAATTTTTAAAAAATGTCAGCTGTCAGTTCTGATCCTCTGTGATTTTTCTGGGCCTGTAAAGTTTTGTAGGAGGAAACTACTTCTCTTTGTGGAGCAGCTGGTGTATTTGAACTGCTGACATTTCAGTTAGTAGTGCAACACGTTCAGTCAGCTTCTTAAGGACTTAAAAGGATTAAAGATTTCTCCAAATAGAATTCATTCTCTAGATATAAATAATAATTTTAAGCTACTATTCATTATGTGAGAGATCTTGAGTAGCTTTGTGTAAGGAGTGTACTGCCAACTGAATCTGCTAGTTGCTCTGCTGGAGAAAGATGGGCAATGTCCTCCTGTGCAATTTAACAACTCTGAAAACGTCCTGAAGGGTCAGCTAGGAAATAACTGAAGAGTACATAACAACAAACAACATTCCTTTATCGGACAGAATAATGTCAACTCACCGCCGGGTACACTGTACCAAGCACCACCATTGGTTGTCCCATCTACAAAGCTGCTGTCATCGTCATTCTTGCGGCAGGGAGGACGATTGGGGTCAGACATCACTGGATTGAAAGAAGAATATGCTCGAGCCAAGCTTTGGAAAGTAACATCATCTGGGCAGGAGCTGTATTCATGAGCACTACCTATAAAATAAATCCACCAAGATTAAAAAAACCACAAACAACCTCAGGCCAAGCAGTACAGCATGCTTTCTGACTCATGATCCAGTTTTGAGCGCTTGCTTCCATGTTTTTTATCACTTTTTATCACTTCCATGTTGTATACTAATGAACAGAGGCAATATTTAAATACTCAACAACTTCACATAGTTCTTAGGTGAAATAACTCCCTTTCCTAATGGGAGTAGAAACTGGGTAGAATGCAGCTTCCATCTGAGGTACTCAGGGTCTCTGTAAATCACAGCAACTCAACGGCACAAAACAACAAAATAAAATTTAACAATTGTTTCACCAAAGATTTTCTCAAAACTCAGTTTTCAATAATATTCAATATGTCATTCTTGTGTCCACAAAGAGCTTTCTCCAAAGACCCTTGAGAAAGTATCCAAAACAGGAAATTTCTCAAAGCAACAAAAATTAAATTAGAAAGACACATCTTACTTGCCTCACCTCAACTACAAGTAGAGACAGCTAAGTCCTCCTTCCTCTCTATGATGCTCCAGAAATGGTTTTATCCCAGGATTAGGAGAGCATGATGACATATATACAGAAATCTAAGTGAGCACAAATCAAACACCCTAAATCTGTCTCCATTTTAAGCCATCTTGTAAACCATCTATAAACTCAGGAATGATCTAGATTCATGACTGGATTTTGCTCTTCCTCTTGTCTAAGCATGCTGTCACAAGTCAAACTTTTCTTCAACTAATCATTTTCAAAATAACCCTTCTCTGCCAAACAGATATTCTGACAGCATATAAAAAGTTTAAGAAATGTTTCTGTTAACTGTATCTATGTCTCTACAGGCAATATTGCATAATAATTCTTTTTAAGAATAAAAAATCATTCCACTTTATAATAAGAGCCAATTAGAAGGGCAGGAAAAACACTCACCAGTCCGTGTCTCATCATAGGGATAGTTGGCTACAAGGTCTCCTCCGTGGAGATTAGCAGAGAGCACAAAAGGAATATCCATAATCCAGTGGATAACTGCCTTGGTCTCAGGAGCCAGCTGCATCAAAGATGAGAAATAAAAGGAAAATGTGTTTTATAATCACGTCATGGTCACTTGCTAGGAAATAAAAAGACATTTGAAAAAATCAAAACCAAAGATCATGCTCATTAAGTCAACTCTGACTCATGACAAATCACCATCCAGTTTCCAAGGCTGTCAATCTTAACAGGAGGAGAACGGCTGATAGAGTCCAAACACTGAACTTTGAGTTAGCAAAGGGAAAACAAAAACTGAATGCTGCTCAGATTGCAACCATTTTGTACCTGTTTGCATAGAAAAGAAAAAGGCTTCATTACTCTTATTTCTGTTCCCCATCCTTAACAATAAAAATATTTTAATAGCTTTAAAATATCCTTGAAAGTTATAATTTTGTACGTTGCCAGTTTTGAAAACAGCAAGTAAATGACATACAAAATTGGGGACACCTCTGATATCAAGGGGTCATTGTAAAAATAGCAAGGGCTGCATTGGGACACCCATATCTCACTTTTATCAACTTTACAAAAAGACAAGAGAAGGAAAAGGAAAAAATTAAACTACAAGACAGCATTTTTTTTTCCTGTATAGTGATTCTTCTAGAAATATATGTCAGGATGACTTCCTTGGTTCTGTTCACTATCTCCCAAATCTTTTTTTCAACTACTTCAAGCACTCTTCTTATAAAACATATCAGATTAAGTTTCTTCTGTGATTTCTATAAAATATCAATTTGGAAAAAAACCCTCAATTTGCTGTAAGCATTATTTTCATTTTAAAACAAAGCAAAGCTTTAAGGAATTCATATTAAGTATTTTGAGTGAATGGTAGCCCCTCATGTCTTGAAGGCAAAACAAAGAATTAAAGAAAGAATTATACCAAAGAATTAACCTGAGGTCAAAACTATCCTTTTTAATAGCAAATGCTAAGACTTCCCACAATCTCAAGTACCTTTTGATTTGGATGAGATCATAGGGGAGGAGAACCAACTTCTCCTTAAGATTTGTTCCTTACTGTGTTCTGGAATAGAGAATTTAGATGTACAAATACATGGTCTTATTATAACATATGAGTGGGATTTAATGGTTTTTTTTAATAACTTCTTTATTCTGTAAAAGCAAATGAAAGTCATAGTCATATAAACACTGACATTACAAAGTACAAGGAAGGGTGAGGAGAGGAGGAAACAAAAACCTCTGTATGTCCTGCTAAAACTGTCTCACCAAAAAGACCATAATGCTTTGTTCCATATTAAATCACTTATATAATAAACCACAAAGAAAAATCTTCTCTGGAAGATACACTCCTCCTCTTTGAGATGGCAGAAAAGAGGGACTGGAAGTTGGGGTAGGAGGCTTTATTCTTTTGGCAGATCCTCTCAGTCATTATAGATATTGCTGCACTGTTAATAAAAAAATATATGCTTCTCTGTAAAGCATAAAAAAAAACACAAAAAACAACTCCACGGATGAGATGACCGAGGCCTCAGCTCAAGTATCTCCAAATGCTTTGTTGTCCATTTTCTGACCTCTCCAATATGTTATTTCTTGGTTGTTCTTTGAATCAATGCCATTCTCTGTTTGTGAGCTTCTGTGGTGCAAGCTTTTTTGTAGGGTCGAGTTTCTTCTGAGCCAAAACCTGGGATCCACATGTTCCACTGGCGCTCTAGGTGCACCTGGACATCTTTCACCTCTAGGGAGCTGGACTTGCGATGCCTGGCAAGCTGGCAGGCTGCTGTCACCACATTCTCGATGAAATCATCGGCAATCTGTAGCAGCATCTCCTCTACATCTTCATTCAACTGTTCATTGGGATCCACTTCTCTAAGTCTTGCAATTTCTTCTTCGTTAATACCTGGTTGTTTTCAGGACTGAGTCGACCTCCTGTGGCAGGAGTGCCTGGTATTTTTACCACAGTAGTGCTACCTCCTGGAGCCTTGTGGAGGGGTGCTGGCTGGTTCCGGTTTTATAGATGAGAAATTGGAGAGGTTGATTAGGGCTGAGGGGCCAAACTGGTTCATAATCTGCCGTGCTTTGGACTTCAGCTCATAGAATTTATCAAGATCCTGTTTCTTTTTAGAGCTGTGAGAGCCAAGGCCAAGCAAAGGCAGCAGCGTCTATCTCCCCATGATATGCAGAGACTGTCCCACTGAAGCCGGGTTTAATGGTTTCAATAAGAATGTGTATTTGTATATCTCTGTTCAGTTTATGAACAGCTCTCACATCCATTATTTTACTTAGCTTGACAGTCCTCTTGTATATGCAGAAGTAATTCTACTTCTTTCACAGGGCAGAATCTGCAGGTCAGGTAAACATGACCAAATGTTTACAGAACTTAAATCTAGTCTATGAGACACTAACGTTATTTTTAGTACATCAGCTTTATTCTTTTAATACTATCTTATTTTTTACTTATATTACTCACTATCATCTAAAATTGCAACTTACAAAAAGCTTTCTTTTATTGCTATTATAATATTACCAATAATATCATATTATTTATTAATATTATTGTATAGGAGCTCTGGCAGCCTTGTTGTAAAAACCTGTACTGCAATCCCAAAGGTACACAGTTTGAATTTACAAGGTGCTCTGTGGGCTAAGGATGAGCAATCTCCTCCTATGTGATTTACTGCCTCTGAAAACATGCTGGAGAGTCAGCCTTGGGTCAGTTCCAAATTGATGGTGCACAACAACAACTACAATTGCATTATTAGTATTTGTCTGGTTGACCTATTTTATTCTGAGTACCAAAATGAAAAAGAAATAAAAACATTTCATAGTTTAATGTGGATAATATAGAGGTGATAAGACAGCACAAATAAGAAATTTTAAGTTACTCAAATTTTAATAGTTAAAAATAATAGTACTAGAAATTGAAGAGCTACTTACAGCCTCTGAAAACTCACTAGAAGATCAGCTATAAGTTCACTCTGGCTTGACAGCACATGACGACAGCACCAACACTACTAAAAATGTGGGGGCAAAAAAGGATGGGCAATCTCCTCTCATGTGATTAATTGCCTCTGACAACATGCCGAGGGCTATGGTCGGTTCTGTCTTGATGGTACCCAAAAATAACAAAATTACTTTTTCAGCTGTTTTCCCAATGCAACCTGTATAATGTCTAAAATACGAGCATTTATATACCAGACTGTGTACTCCTTTACTTGAATGGACACCAGCTAAATCCTTCCATGAGCCATTCAATATCCTTCTGAAATATTACTTAAATGGTTTAGTGGTATCTAACATCAACTTAGCAGAAGCTCAATGGCAAGGAACATCCCTCAGTACTGACTCAAGCAAAATCTTTCCTTGAAGTTGATACATGGAATTTGGACTTTCATCCTCCTAAACAAGAGGGAGGCAACAGCATGAGAGACCAGCAGTATGTGGTACAAGACATCATAGAAGTGGCATGTGGATTAAGCTGTCATATCAAGAAGTGGCTGGGGAAGAGAGGTTTGGCCAGATAGGCGAAAGTGCAAGGAGTGCTGATGTAGCAGGGAAAGAGAAGAGACAAGACACACATGCTTGGGGGCAGTGGGACAGTGAATGTATTGGTTATTTCTGTAAGGGAAGTGTCTTTCTTCTGCTTGGTAAAATGCTTGTCTGTCAAATATTGTTCTAAAACTAAGCATCCAAATTAAGACAGAGCAGGAAAAAGGATTGGCCATTCACTTTCAAAATATAACAGGTCTTCAAAGACCCTATGTATAGCAGAGCACCCTTAGAGTAAATTAACAGATATGGCACCTGAAGCTGAGCCCTCAAATTTGGAAACACAAAGGAGAAGGAACATCTGTAAGAAGAAACTAGTGGAATGTGAGAAGCATGAATGTAGGAAAACTAGACATTGTTAAGAAAGAAATGGAAGGCATAAATATTGACATATTAGCTATTAGAGAAATTAGATGGATTGGCATGGGACATTTTTAATCAGATGACCATATGATCTACGATGCTGAAGATGAAAAGGTGAGAAATAAACAGGGTAATTTTCATAGTTAAAAAGGCCATTTCTAGATCCATTTTGAAATATAATATTGTGAGTGGCAGGATAATATGTGTATACGTACAAGGAAAACCTGTTAATACCATTATCATTTAAATTTATGTGAAAACAACCAGAACCAAAGTAGAGGAAATAGATGATTTCTACCAAATGTAGCAGTCAGAAATCATGTAACCAAGATACATCAATAATAAGTGGCCGGAATGCCAAAGTTGGGAACCAGGAAGAAGGCTAAGTAGTCAGAAAATATGGACTTAGGGACAGAATGGTAAAATTCAGCACAATCAATAATTTATTCACAGCAAATAACTTTTATAAGAAATAAACGTTGGCTATACACATGGATTTCACCTGATGGGATGTACAGAAATAAGATCAATTACATCTGTGGAAGAAATCATTGGAGAAGTTCAATATCAGCACTGAAAACTAGACCAGGTACTGATTATGGAACAGACCATCAACTACTCATATGCAAGTTAAATTAAAGCTACATAAGATTAAATCATATTCCCAGGAATCAAAATTTGATCTTGAGTCCATCCCCCTAAATTTAAAAAAGCAAATCAGGAATAGGTCTGAGGCCTTGAACACACTAATGAACAAAGACCAGATGAACTATCAAGAATATCATTCATGAAGAATGCAAAGTCATTACTAAGAAGGAAGAAGAAAAGACCAAGATGGATGTCAGAGGAGACTCTAAATATTGCACTAGAGCGCCGAGAAGCCAAAGTAAAGGGAAGAAATCAAGAAGTTAAGGAGCTGAATAGAAGATTTCAAAGGGTAGCTCAGGAAGACACAGTAAAGTATAACAATGAAATCAACAAGGAAGAGCTGGAGTTGGAAAAACAAAAGGGTCAAACGTGCTCAGCGTTTCTTAAACTGAAGGAACTGAAAAACAAATTCAAACTGTGAGGTGCAACGCTTAAGGATCCTATAGGCAGAATACTGAATGATTCAGGAAGCATTAAAAGGAGGTGGAAGAAGTCCACACAGTCATT